TAAAGTTCTATTTTTGGTAGATAGTAGGATCCTTCAGTTGTATCACCCTAGTAATTCTGCAATGATATTGCACCACTTGCCTAATTGGAAAATAACAGCAACTTGCAGTGAGCTTCAACATGGGCTAGTGTCTCAGAGCACTTAAAAATACATATCTTGTGTATGGTATATATGTATAACATGTATATACACATTAGTGATTCTCAGTATTCAGCTGATTAATAAGAGCCAAAATGCAAAATACTGCAGGTGCTGGAAATCTAAAAACAAGTCGCTGGAAACACTCAGCAGGAGAGGCAGCATTTATGGAGAAAGGAAAGTGAGTCAACGTTTCAGGTCATGACCCTTCGATTAATATGAGCCTGTTGGGTTGCATTCTTGCAGGCTATAGGATCATCCAAATTGTTGATTTTTTTCTATTATAATTTATTAGGGTGTATCTGGTTTCTATACTTTCAGGCTTGAATTTGGTGATAAAATGTATGTTTTACACTGGATTCATACTTAAATTATAATACAGAAATACTTCTAATTGCTTTGGAAGTTTTCTGTAGGAATTTATATTATTAAACAAAATGTTACCATGAAGCATTAAAATAGGATTTGCAATGATAAGTAAAAGAAATGCATTTAAAGATGACTGTGCAACATATTTTAGTATGACCAATATATCTTAGCTCATAATAATGTCTTCCCCCCACTTGCCCTTGACAAATACATAAATTATGCAACAGTAAAATTATATTTGGCCATTAAGCCCATTCCATAGCCTGGGTGCAATTGAATGGAAAATAACATGCTAAATCTACTGAGGAAAGGATCTGTAATGTTTCTCTGTTCTCCTATATGAATCTACACCCTATAGCCATTTTTCACTGCTTCTAGTTAGAGCACTCGCCTCGCAAGCGAGAGGACCTAGATTTGATTCCCAGGTAGGGTGAAATCTTGGGCCTCTGTTTACCTAGCAGTAAATAGGAATCTGGTTATTAGTCGATTGGCAGATCGCTTTCCAGGGATAATGATTATAATAATTTGGCCACTCAATCCACGATTGTTTGTGGGATACTGCTGTATAAGTGTGCAAATTGACTGTTGGGTTTTCCAAACAAAATATACAGTTACTATACAGTATATTCTGTGAAGTGCTTTGAGATATCTCAATCCGATAATGTGCTTATCAAATGCAAGAATTATATATTTTCATGATCCCAGCAGCTCAGAAACAAATAATAACTTGTATTTGATGTAACACATATAAAGATTGTGAAATGACTCAAAGAACTTTACAAAATTACTCTGAAGTGTAGTAACTATTTGTAAACTAAAGTGGAAACCAATTTGAACACAAGAATATCCTATAAACATTACCAATTTTATCTGGAGAGTTGTTGGTCAGGAAACCTACCTACTGAGCAGGCAGACATGACCTCAGTTTAGCAACTTGTCATATTTTACAAAGGATTCGGTCATCTCCACATTGTTACAATTATAACCGTGTTCTGTTCCAAACCAAATATTTTCATTCAAATATTTTTGAAGTTAATTGACACGTCAATATCTGCTTTAGGTGTTAATAAAGATGCTGTCTAACCAGCTGTCTGTTAGAATTTCTGGCAAAATGAACCTGCTAATTTTAGAAAAGTGCCAAAATCACCTGCTGAAGACAGGTGGACGTGAACGTTTGACTGCCAGCAAAATCACTCAGTACTCTCCAGAATAATCGGGTCAGTAAGTTAAATGTTATGGTAAATTTCCCAGCCTTCAGGCAAAGCAGTCGGAGTCACAGAGGTACTTTGCAAATTGGTGCTATTGCTAACTTGACATAGCTCTTGACATCTACCTGTCAAGCCTGAAGCATCCAACACACTGCTCCTCTGACACTTGCAGTTAATTAAGACTGCATTTAGTGTAGAGACCTCTTGAGAATCAGTTCAAATAGAACCAAGGCTTTGAACTGCTTTTGGTGGCTCTACAGCAAGCTAAATTGACATATGTTTGGTATGTGGACCCTTTCCCCGGAGTGTAGCTGGATTCAGGCTACCTTCATCCTCTGTTAATGATTGCTATTTTCTCTGTATTCTCAAATGAATTTCCTCAGTAATAGTGTGTATAATGTATTTTTGACTATTTTAACCCCTATTCAGAATGTGCTTCAGCCTTTTCAACAAAAAGTTGAAAATAATACATTACTTAAATTGATTGAATCCGCTCCATAATAACTGACTAATTTACTGGATCAGTTTTGCTCTTTTTGCTCCTGGTAGTAAATTTGTGGATGCAGCCTAATGTTAATTCTGCAACATTAAGTTTCATAAATTTTCCTCATTATGCTTAGAAATAAAATGCAGTCAACTGCAAGCTTTAAATAATATTACATTAGGAGCATTAAATTCTGTATTGAAACTGGTATTACATTAGTTATTTTGAAGTCCACAGAGACATATTTGCAAAATATAACACATGTGATTAGCCAAAATTAATGAATTTGTTACCTGAAAACCAAGGAGCAGAATATTGAGAAGCTTAACTCACATCAGCTGATAATATTAATGAGTTTTTTTGATAATAAGCTTTTTCCTCCTGTAGTTTGATCAGGCATTTAACATTTAACACGGCTCCCTCAATATCCATCTGTGTTGGCTCATTTCTGGGCATATTCTGCAAAATGTTGGTCAAGTTTCCTTACTCCGCACGCCTCTGTTTACCTAGCAATAAGTAGGAACCTGGTTGTTAGTCGATTAGTGGATTGCTTTTCCTGGGATAATAATAATTTGGTCACTCAATCCATGACTGTTTGTGGGATATTGCTGTGCACAATTGGCTGCCGTGTTTGGCCACAAATATACAGTCACTTTATAGTATATTCTGTGAAGTGCTTTGAGACCTCTGGAAGATGTGAAAAGGATTATTTATTATTTCATGCATAAACCAGATGAGCTTGGGCAATGTCAGTTAAGAGGCGAAAAACCAAATCAACATCTATGACCTGGAATTGTTAGTTTGTGAAACACTTCAAAATATTGTTTTACATTAAAAAAGATGTATAAGCTTAAGTTCCAGTTAATTTATTTTAAAAAAGAACCGCTTTTATACTTTGATGGAGTCAGCAAAGAAACTTGAGAGAGAAAAAAGGACTGATGGCTGACCTGATCATTTTGTGGACAGAGCAGTCATCCATAACAAGGGTAAGGCTTTGGTCAACATTCCTACTGACAATTCAGTGCCCTAGAGTTTTAGTTAAAGATTTGCACAGTGTATTACTATAATAATAATCCTTGCATTTGATATAGTGCTTTTCACGTCTTCTCGACGTCTCAAAGAGCTTCACAGAATAGACTGTTGAGTGAATTGACCGTATATTTGTGGGTGAACGCAGCGGCACACAGCAGCGTCCCACAAACAGTTGTAGATTGAAAATGACCAATTTGTTATTGTTTTTGTTTTGGAGGCATTATTATTAAATTATTATTATTTATACTGAAGAATTGGATTTATACGGAATTGAACCCACTACTTATTACATAATACTTGTACGCAATGTTACAAAGTGAGGTCTTTCTAAACTTACAGTTTCATGTTTGCTCATTGCCTTGTGGTTTGAGATGTAGTGACAGCCCAGGAAGGTGCCTATTATGAAGGTTATGGGGTTTATTCTGATCAGTAATGTCACAGTTAATGTTGTCATTGGAGCAGAACCTAATGATGTCACCGCAGTTTACACTCAAAATGTCTATTTGTCTGACTCCAATCAGCCGTTTTTTTTAAAACATAGAACTTGTTAACATAGCAGCATTTAATGGAGTATTGGTCGCCCCAGGCTATTATTTGCATCCCAAGCTTGCAGGATCCAGGATAGCAGTCTCTACCTCACTATATTTGATCAAAATATGCAGATGTCAAAATGGTGAATCTTTAAAATCAAAATCATTATTTTTTAAAAATGTCAACTAGGTAGGAGATTTTTTAACCAAAGTAGAAAGGTGGGATTCCTCACCTTCAATTATGTCCATTATCTTCTTTTTAAAGATTAGATAATAAAGGCTCGAAAATTGTAAAGTGCTGAAAATGCCTTCTTTAGTAGGAGCTCAACAGACAGAGTTTTCGGAATTTGCTTTAGAAAGATAAATGTGATCATTTCAAAACGTGGAGCAGCAAACTTCCCGTTTCATTCTTTTTATATTTTCTCTTTTCCTCTGAAAGGGCACAGTGGAAATACAATTGTACATTATTATGTCCCCTCTACTGTTTACTGCCAGAAGAGAACCAGAACAGGTTTCCTTCAGTTCTTTTTACTTTCACGTGGTACCACCATCTAATACTGTATTACTCGGAAAATAAATTGAGTTGTGGTATAATAATAACTTGAATTATTCTTTGAATTTTCTTCCAATTCCTTTTTCAGGTTTTCCATTGTGCAGCATCAAAACTGCTGTTGCTTTGGTGGTTAGGCAGTTTATTTATCTCCTTCTTGAGTGGAAGGTCTGACTCCAGTAACAAAGCTGAGATGGGAAATTCATGGGCTGAACTCTACATCTTATAATTTAGAACTTTTTAAGCACATAAGAGAGTCAAAGATAAGAAAACACTTGTGAATCTGACCTCCTTTACTACATACACTAGCATATTCTTATAGCGTCCAGGATTTTTTATTCATGAGTAATGTTTATGTTCATACAATTGAATTTACATACTTGATTTTGTTATGCTGATTCTGTGGATTTAAATATTAATATAAAATAATTTCCAATTGAAAATGAGTACCAACTATTATTGATAGTTTCAGGATTTTTACATATCCTCTCAAATTAACATTCTGTGTATGTTTGAGGGTTTACACATTTTTGGAATAATATGGAATATTAAAAAAAGTTCAAAAACGTATTTGGCAACAGTGCATTTGCTTGTGAAATAAAATGACCAATAGTTTCACTATTTTCTGAAAATTATTGTACATTTACTAATGGTACCTCACCCTTTTTCTTTTATATTTATTCCATTAGAGCTACGGCAGTCCACAGCGCAAAAGAAGAGGATGCTTTTAGTCAGACTTAGGCGTATGCTGTGAAAACTACTTTCCCAACTGTTAATTTCTGTAGACTCAGCAGACAAATCAGGAACCATGGATTGCTACAGCTTCACTGATGAAAACTCCCTTCAAGCTGATTTACACCTGCCTTTGCTGTCAGACAGTGAGTTGCCCATTGCAAGTAATATCCAGAGATCAGAGATCATCCCAGACCCTGATGATATTATTTATGCAGGAATGACAAGTATAGAACTTGAATCCAATCTGGAGACTACCGAAATCCCTGATGATCCATTTGCTGACAATTTAGATCTCTCCCTGTATACTGTAGATAAGGGATGTGACTCCCCAAAGATTCCCAGTGACTCCACGGATACAGATTCTCCACCCATGTTGCTAGGTACTTGAATGTACATACATGTTTCCAGTACTTTTATAATAAGCGGTGGCGTTGAATAGAGCCAGGCTCTATCTGTCTACTTTCTGGTTTGCAAGCAATACCCATCCAAAATTATTGATGTAAAGATTGTTTAAGTTCTAACAAGTAGCGGTTTTCTTATTACAATTGAGCTCAGATGTGCACCTTGAATTTTATTTTGTCACTTAAATTGCTGCATCAATGGATTATTTAATAAGTTGACTCATCCAGGCTCCTCACATCATCTCCCTAGCCTTTCAGTAGATTTCAAATGGAAGAGAATAAAATAAAACCTAAGTTTTGCAATGAGTTGAAAGGAGCAAGAAAGTACAGTCTGTTTTCTGTACTTCCCAGCTATAGAAGGAAAAACGTGTTTAAAACGGTGTAGTTTACTTGTAGCATTCTTTACTTTTCTATATTTGGGATCATTCTCTTTCAGTCATGTTATGGGGCAGTAGTTACACTGAATTTACTGCAGGTGGATGGTTTGATGTGAACTGGCAGATGATCCGGAGACACCCAAACCTAGACAGGCACATCTGTGCACAGTGTGGGTACACTGGCTGTCTTTTGTTCCTGGTGGCAGACAGCACATGAGCAAGTCCAAGGGCCTGCAATGGAGATGCTGTCAGACCCAACAGACCTTGTGCATCACTGATATAAACCAAGGCAGGAAGATGTGGATCTTGGGATATTTTACCAGCAAATTCTTGCAACAGTAAAGTAAATATTGGGGGAAAATCCTTTATATCGAAGAAATTTTAATTTGTTCAAAAAATATTCTCTAGACCTTATCACGGTTTCGTCAAAATATTTAATTTCTGCACACTCGAGCTTTAACAAAGGATCTATTAGCTGTTAGAAATGTTGAAGTATAATATTCTGTTAGATTAGTGACTTAATTTAAGTGTGCTTCATGCTGGAGACAACTAACTAGAATTTCTTCCTCATGGTATTGTGTGAAAGTTGAGTTTTAATGTCTCAGTTCTTTATGAATGGTTTAGATGTCCATCATTCAACATTTTTATGAATGAAATAAATGCAAAGGTTAAGTACAATATTTTGGTACTCAATATGTTTAATTCAATGATGTAGCAACAACAATAAATTATATTTGTATAGCCCCATTCACGTCGGAAGGAAGACTCATGGCCCTGGACAGTCAGGGATTTGGACCTGAGCTGGGGGTTGGGATCAGGAGGGTGGGGGGAGGAGGTTGGCCCAAGGCGCAGTTGAAGAGGAAGGTCTTGAGATGTGCAATGAAGAAGGCAAGGGAGGGAGTGAAACAAAGTGGACTGTGAGACGGTGTTCCAAAGGGTGCGGTGAATAGTACTAGTTGGAGCACATCTGCACAATTAGAATTTACTGGTAAAGGAGTAACGCAGCCCTCAGAGCTGAAGAAGACGAACTGTTTGTTAATGCAATGTTAACTTGTGTAATCAGATATATATTGTGCAAAATGTTTTTAGAGTTCGACATTTGATTGGCGAATCACATTTTACCTGGGACTCAACCGGAAGATGTCAAAACTGAACTAAATCTTATAAATTCAAATGTCCACGCTTCAAACTACGCTGAGCTCTTCCCAATGGTGATTCACTACCTGATGGAAATGCTGCTGAGTGTTAAGATATACAGAGCAGCAGTGAAGATTTATATATGTGCAGTCAGCTTGTCTGAATTCCTCAACTGTTGTTGAAAATCATCTTTGCAGGATCTAATCCCAGGTTTTGAAACCACAGTATGGCATGGTGAAGCTCTAAACTGTTCTCACTGGTTTAGTGCTGAGTGAGTGATTGTTGAAAGTTGAATGTTTTGTTGAATAGTTGATCTTGCACTCAATTCCACTTTTAACAAACGTTTTCTTTTTCAACACAGAAAATGAACTTAATACAATGAGGAATGTTGTTAAACCAGTTGTAAAAAATGGAAGTTATGGCCTGAAATCTTGCTTTTTTTTCTCCAACCAATATTTTCAGGTATTAGTCCTCTCCCTCGAGAACATACCCCTGAGAAAGATGAGAGCAATGGTGAAGGGAAATATATATGTCTGCAGAAAAGGAGGCGTTTATCCACCAGACATTCACCACAGCAGACATTCCAGGTTAGCACTGAACAGGCTCCACCTGGGATAAACCTAGATTTGGAACGTTGCAAAGGGTTATGCCAATCATTTCTCAATCTGTTCTATCTTTGACCAATAATAGGAGAAATGTTTATTCTTGCGATCTAATCTGGAAACACATAATGTGCACTACTATTAGTAAGTCCTGTAGCTCAGTGGTTAGAGCACTCGCTTTGCAAGCGAGAGACCTGAGTTCAATTCCAGGCAGAGGGCGAAACCTTGGGCAAGTTTCCTTACTCCACACAGAGCCTAATAATAATCCCTCCAAAACCAAAATAAAATAAATTGGTCATTTTCAATCTACGACTGCTTGTGGGACATTGCTGTGCGCAATTGGCTGCCGCGTTCGCCCGTAAATATACAGTCAATTCACTTTACAGTGTGTTCTGTGAAGTGCTTTGCGACATCCTCCCGACGTGAAAAGCGCTATGTCAAATGCAAGGATTATTATTATTATAAATGTACAACAGCAACAACAAAATTACATTTGCAAAGCACCTTTCATGTCGAGAGGACAGCTCAAGGCGCTGAACAGTTGGGGGGGTGGGGGGACAGGGTTGGGATGAGGGAGGCAGAGAGGTAGGAGAGCCTGATGAACGGAGGGAGTGGACAGGTTGATAGGAGATTAGTAGGTCAGAGAGGTAGGAGAGGGAAAGGCTGGGAGGCCCTTGAAAGAGTAATGTGTATGAGGTGTGAGGCAGTGGCTGAGTTGACCAATGTTACGGAGGTGGAGGAAGGCAGTGTGGATCATGGCATGGATATGGGGGAGAAAGGACGGTTGAAGGTCAAACAAGACGCCCAAATTCCTGACTGGCTTGGTGAGATGGAGTGTGTGTGTCCGTGGATGCTGATGCTGCCAGTGTCTGAGGTGTGAACCAATCAGGAAGGCCTTGGTCTTGCTGACATTCAGCTGTAGAAAGTTGCCTTGCATCCATGTCTGACAGACAGTGTCAGGACATGAGTTGTCCTGGAATTGAGGGTGGAGGCAGAAAGATAGTTGGGTGTCATCCACGTACATGTGGAAGTTGACCCTATGTCTGAGAATGATGTCACCAAGGGGGAGCATGTAAAGTAAAGTTTGAAGAGGAGCGGACGAAGGAAAGAGACCTGAGGAAAGTTGCACAAGAGTGTGTGGTGGCTGGAAGAGAAACTGTTGGCGGAGACAAATTGGAGATGGTGTGAGAGATAAGACCTGAACCATTCAAAGGCAGAACCTTGAAGGTTTAGAGGAAAGGCGGTGGAGGAGGATGGAGAGGTCCATGGTATCGAAAGCAGCAGAGAGGTCAAGGAGGCAGAAGGAGCCCTGGTCACAGATGTTGTAGTGAAAACTGAGCAAGGAAATGAGAGATAAATATTGGTCTCTCCTTATTAAAGTAGATCATGTTGGGAATTCGTCCTATGGAGAGATTTAGGATTTATACTACTACGTGGTCTCATGTCGTGGTGCAGGAAGCACTTGGTTTGCTTTCTGTAGTTCATTCCTTTGTATTGATTTAGTAAAATGTACATATCAATCTCGGATTTGTTACAGTATTGTTTCCTTTTCCACACTCTTCTATGTTTGGATCCCTCTCTTCCATTCTAGTTATACAGATTTTTTAACTTATCCTGGTCCATCTGAACGAGAAGGTATTCAGTAGTTGATTAAATTATTGCTGTTGATCAGTGGAAGCCATTAACTTTTGTTTTGTTGCCCAGGAATGCAGTCAATGTGGGAAGTCTTTCAGCAGTGCCAGTGCCCTGAGTAAACACTACCTGACCCACAGCCACGAGCGTCGTCATGTCTGCAGGATCTGCAATAAAGCTTTTAAGAGGCAGGACCACCTGTATGTGAATTTGGTTAACTGTGAATGCTGTGAATTTTACATAAATAGCCCTTCCTTGCAGTGGAGTCCTGTAGCTCAGTGGTTAGAGCACTCGCTTTGCAAGTGAGAGACCTGAGTTCAATTCCAGGCAGGTCAGGGCGAAACCTTGGGCAAGTTTCCTTACTCCACACAGAGCCTAATAATAATCCCTCCAAAACAAAAAAACAATAATAAATTGGTCATTTTCAATCTACGACTGTTTGTGGGACATTGCTGTGCGCAATTGGCTGCCGCGTTCGCCCACAAATATACAGTCAATTCACTTTACAGTATATTCTGTGAAGCGCTTTAGGACGTCCTCCCGACGTGAAAAGCGCTATATCAAATGCAAGGATTATTATTATTATAGAGAATCAAGCACGTTCTACAAAAGATGCAGGTTTTATTTGTCAGATTGTTTGTGTGTGGAGGAGGGCGGAGATATAATTGCACTATTTAAGAGGAAATAGGCAAAGTTAAGTGAGAGAGCAAATATGCGAGATTGCCTGAGAAAGGCGATTCCAATGAAATGTGTCCTTCGCTTAATATAACAGGACAGTGTTTGGAATGCTGACTCCTCTGTCCTCTTGGGATATGAGGTCCATATTTAGCTAGTCCATCTGTGCTCCCAAGATTATCGTGACCAGTCTGAAACTCTACGTCGTCATATTCTGTAAACCCACTATAACTTAATATTTAGGATGATACAGAATTGTGGAAAATTCTTAAATTCAATCCTTAATTTGAAAGCTTTTTTTATTTACTATCAATCAAGTCAGACAGAGTAACTGTAAGTGATTACTGTTCCTGCAAGTTTTTATATATTGATCACTCCCAGTTGTGCTACTTTTTAAAATATTGGATTGTGAACCCAAATATGAAATGTTTGGTAGACTGGAAAAATAGTTATTGATTATTCTCTGACAGATAGATTGATTCCACTGATAGCCAGCTTAAGATAATGTTGAAGGCCGGTAACATTTGCTCCCTTGAGCCTGGGTTTTAATCTACCCGAGATTGATGGGATCAGAATATCCCATAAGGGTTGAACATGAGCTAAACTATGAGAGAATAAACCACAAATTGGCAACTTTGCAGACAAGAACCCACAGGATTGGGGGGGATATGATGATGTGTATATATGGTTTTCTCTTTAATTACCTTTAGAATATGAGCACTAGCTGGTTATCATACTAGTTATGCAGTTGTGTGTGCTTCACTTAAAATTCAGTTGGACGAGGGATAATGAAATGTTGATATACTGTCAGTTTACCATCAATGGGATAAAAATGTTAACATGTGCACACAATAAAACCACATTTACTTCTGGCACTTTTCCCCTAGATCTGGGCATTTGCTGACCCACCAGAAAAACAAACCTTATGTTTGTATGGAGCATGGCTGTGACAAGAGTTACTGCGACTCACGATCCTTGCGACGTCATTATGAAGTTCAACATGGTTTATACTGTCAGAAGGAGCCCTGGACTGATACCTGCAAAGATCTGGGCTCCATGGAGAGCGCACTGTATCCACAGAGTGAACATATGCAAGTCTCGCATGAAGGTGACATTGTGCAGAGTTCTGGGGCCCATTCTGAGTCTCTTTCACAAAGACCCCTGTTGCCAAACCGACAACTGCTGAGGTGCCTAACCAGCAGTTTAAGCCAAAAAATACCTTGCGATAGTGGAAGCAGTGGACCCACCAGTATCACTTTGCACTATCCCACACAAGCCCATGCTTTGCCAAATGTATTGACGGGTCCCAACATTTGTTCATCTGATAGGTCAGGCATGGTCAGGCAAGCCAAATGCAATGTATTGCAAAGAGAACATTCTACCGGTTTGAACTGTAACATCAGTGAATTGTGCCCTCAGGTAAACCCTGCTAATCTGTCTGTGACAATCCCCAATGTTTCATATGTGGAAAACCTGGACGCTTGTATTTTGGACTCTCTGATTCCAACTAGACCACAGCCTCCACCATACACTTTGGAGGCAGCAAGACCTGCAAGTTGGCCACAAGCTGTTGGAGCAAATCATACGTTATCAAGAAATGAAACCATTTCCTCTGGCCACCAAGCCAGTCAGGATCTTGTGTGGACCAATAACCTGGCGACTTACAGTGGCAGCAAAGGAAGTTATTCTTATATTGTTCCTAATTTGCAGCCTTCTGAAGAAGTTTCTACCAATTTTTCAAGTGGCGCTTTGCATAAGCTGGACTCTTTCGCCCAGGCTTTCACAAAACAGAACTTGGATATTCAGTCAAATCCCTCTGCTTCCAGGCCCCAGGGTGAAAACTCACAAGTGTCAGAATTTGATGCATGTGGTAATGTCTTCAGGCAGCTGTTGAGTTATAAAGCCAACTTAAACCAGTGGCCGGCCTTTCCTGAACAGAAACGGCAACTTCTGCAGGAGCAGTATTCGCTTCACCAGCAGCATCAACAGCAAATAGCCACGTCACTCTTCACACAGGTCTACATGGGAGAGCAGGAGGCCGTCTCCCTACAGAACCAAGTCCCATTTCAAAACCATATGCTCCAGCTGATCTCTGACACCCAGTATAATATGTGTCAATCCCAAAATTTGGTCAGCCAATCGCAGGTAACAGTTACTCAGTCCCAGCATATAGTCTCCCAGAAAATTTCAGCCCAGGCACAAAATAATGGATCCCAGTCATATCAGCCGTTAGATTTAGGCCAAGATTTTCCGAGCTGCTTGAAGCAGGAAAATGCACCGTTTTTACAATTTCAATCTACAAAACCTTGTCAGCAGGTCAAGAGTATCTCCCCGTACTATCCACCACAGGTGAAAGTTGCAGAGCCACAGACTGGCACTAGTTTGCAGCCCAAGTCCAGAGACCTTTCAGAATGTCACAAGAAATCCAGGAAGAGTCCATTTAAGGTTCAACCACCACTTCAGTTGGTGTCGAAAGATGATATTGCTCAGAACCAGCTTCAGGGACAGTCAGAGCAGGTGGATAATCGGCCACTCCCCCCCTGTAACAACAAGAGAGGGAGAGCCTCCAGTAAAGAGGCCGGCTTCAAATACTGTACTGGAGGCAAACACAGTAAGAGCACATCCTCTAGGAAGGAACGACAGAAGTTGGATCCCAATTGCACTGCTCCTCCCAGCCAGGTGGCCATGAACTCCTTCACAGTTCAGGGTTCTTTGTCTAGGAGTACGGACGACAGCCACCAGATAATCCAGGTAGTCGCTTCATATCTGTGCTTCTTTAATGACACTCATTGGCTATAATATCCCCCACCCTTCTTGCCTTCCACCCCTCCTGATCCCAACCCCCAGCTCTGGTCCAAATCCCTGACTGTCCAGCACCTTGGGAAGTCCTCCCACTTTGGAAAGTCCTCCCAATGTGAAAGGCAGGCACTGTGTAAATGACATTTGTTGTTATTATGGGAATGATGATCTACTGTTTTTTTCTCCTTTGCTATGTCCCCGGTGGCTAAAACCCAACCTTTTACCTGTGCCACTCGAGCTTTGTAACTACCCATTAGCAAATGCATAAGAGTGGCCTATGATTTTCTGTCCTTGCGAGAAAACACTTGGCCCCTATTTGATGTCTCCCTACAGTGAGAAAATGTCTTATGTAGGAACACCCAGGCTTTTTATTATTTATTTTCAAATGCCAGCACTTTATGTGTTATATAGAACAAAGATATTCATTTATATTCACAGTAATGTTTGATATCTTTAAGGGATCTAGTGTTTCAGATAACTTAATTCTCAGAACTTGCTGTTTGTGATGGCTTTTTAGCAACTCATTTTCTGTTGCTCTGTGTAATTATCTTTGACTTTCCAGGCTGAAGACATGTCCAATCTTTCCACTACATTGCAGGAGGGAGATGGATCTTCACCAGTTTCATGGTATGTCTCTTCTGCCAACTTTACCAACTTTACATAACAATATGCTGCTTCAAAAAAAACTGAGGTTCTTTTGCCAAATATCTTGAACCTATGCCCTCTGGTTACTGACTCACCCACCAGTGGAATCAGTTTCTCCAATTTACTCAATCAAAACCCTTCATAATTTTGAATACCTCTACTAAATCGCCCCTTAACCTTCTCTGCTCTAAGGAGAACAATTCCAGCTCTAAAAGATAATGGTGTAAGAAAGATTTTGTTGCCTACTCAACACCTGAGTTTACCCAATCTGTAACTCACAGTGCATCCCAGACTTTGGAAGAAAATGGTGAAAGCATCAGATGCGAGAGGTGTCAAGGCGTTTTCCACTTCCTGAATGGACTGAATAACCACAATTGTTCACAAGAAGTAATGGGAAAACAGCATACATCAGAAGATGGAATTAAATCACAGCAGGTTAGAAATCGGATACAGTTTGGTTTTGAGGAAAAACTGCTGATGCAAACAAAGAGGTTAATTTCAAAAACAAGCCAGGTTGATTTAGGGATTATGGAAACTGGTTAGTAAAATGTGCTTTCATCTTCACCGTCTGGGTTTAATGCTGTCCAGTGTCGGGTTTAATGCAATACTGTCCAGTGTCGGGTTTAATGCTGTCCAGAGTCGGGTTGAAAGACTTCCTTTGATGGTTGCAGCAAAGAATGGTTTCCTCATCAGTCTTGACAGAGGTTTGGGCTCATTTCAGCTGATGATTGGAACTAAAGTCATAAACTCATTCCAATCCTGGGTGCAAACCCCTGACTGTCCAGCGCCTTGGGACATCCTCTCGACAGGAACATGCACATTATAAATGCAATTTCTTGTTGTAAAATAATACTAAAATCAAGCACACGTTTCTAAACTGAGAGATTTGAAGAGGATGTTGTTAGCATAGACTAAGCCAATAGATGTCCTGAATATTATTTTGATGTTGCTGGAAATAATGAAATAATAATTTCATCTTTAGGTGACTGATAACGGAATTGAGAAAATGGAGCCCGGTGGATTATTTTTTCAGTACCTGGAGGATAAACTAAGTGCTCTTCTACTGAAGAAACCCTTGGAGGAAGCGGTGGTAATGCCTTTAGTGATCCCAGTGTCTGTACCTGTAAAATCCTCCAATACTGTGAAAGATTGCAAAGCTGGAAAATCTGACCATTCACCCATTATACCAAGGAAATCAGTCACAATGAAACTGACCGATCTAGTCGTCTCCTCTAATGACAGCCATGTCCAGGTGAGAGCGCTTCTGAGAAAGGTAACCTTGATAGTACACACGTTCAGTCAGGCAGGCAGTGCTTGACTCATTCTGGTTCTTAAAACCCGTTTCTTTCCCTCTAGGTTCCCACAATGGTGTGCACCATTCTCCATCCGCGAGGGGAGGCAAGTGACTTGTTCCTGGGGTTTCTGCCAATGTTGCTGTGTAACTATCTACTCGGGGGTCGAGGTTATCTAGGAGTTTCCCTCCCATGGAGGCAGATTGTTGATATAACTTGTTTTGTGTGGGTGGGAGAATGCTATCCTAACCTCCCCCTTCCCCCTTTAATAAATATAACGTGTGGTTTCCATATTGCTAACCTTATTGTTTCCATATTGTTAACCTTGAACTCTGTTGATGACTGTCAAATTGGTACAATGAAAAATAATTAGACAAGCTTGGGCTCTTCAGTCTTGAGAGAAGATCTCAGAGGGGACCTTAAGAGAGGTGCATAACATTTTAAATGGGATTGAAAAAGTAAACTCGGAACAATACTTTAGGATGCATCAACAGGGATGGGTTAGGGTTGCAAAGCGCAGAGACCTGGAAGTTTATCTTTAATTACCCTCTGAATAAAGAGTGGAACAGGCTGCTAGGAAGGGTGCCTGAGACCAAGACACTGGGACTTATTTAACGAAATGTCTGTGATGGGAGGACGGTGGTGGGTTTTCCAGAGGGATAAGGTCAGATGGGCCTAAGACCTTCATCCAAACTGTTCTTGTGACTATCCCAAAGGGGATTATAATGGTGTTCAGCGCCTAGGCTGTACAAGCACAAGAGAGAGTTTGTTGGACAGTGCTCCAGATGTTACTCCTGATACTATGAATTGTTATGGCAACTGACAATACTGTAATTTCTTTGACATTCGGAATTCTGTTGGGTGGTAGATTCATTTTGGTTTTACTCCTGGACTCAAATCGATCAGAGTCACTATTGCCGTGGCTCTGCTCAGCCCATTACCATTGTTTATTTCAAGCACTGCACTTCACATGTTTTGATCCATTTATTACTCTGAAGATATATATTTTTCAGATCAGCGAAAGTCGACGACAAACCGTGAACTGCACCGACATCCCCCACTCCAAAAAACGCAGGAAACGATCTCGACCAGAACCCCTGTTTATCCCGTCTCCGGCTTGGAGCCAGACAGGGGCAGCGCCTGGCATGGTGCTGTACCAAAGCCAGATGCGTTCTCCTGTTTGTTTGGCTGATCATCTTCTGGAGATGAACTTCCAGACGCCTCCGTATACCCCTCCCCCAATGCTGAGCCCCATCCGCCAGGGCTCCGGGCTCTACTTCAACAGAGTCTGTTCTGCAGCAGGTGGCACAGCGTTGCTCCACACCTACACCCCCAAAGGAATCCTGAGTTGCATCTTAGGTAAAAGTCTTCTGCTTTTCCCCATCCTGTTTAAGATTTTTTTAAAATAAAATTGTGGCTTAGAAAGAAATATGTGATTAGAAATTGCGGGAGTAAAAATAAAGCTATTTTGTTATAGATATTTCAAATAAGTAAATAAGAGACGTCAATATTAGGGAACAAATTCCTCTTTACTTTTGACACCCAGTGTTTCAATTGAGCATTCTGAGATCAGGTAGAGCACAGGTTTAGAAATAAAATAAAGCTGCTTCTTTAACAGGGAGACATTATATTTCAGCAGGGAGACATTGTGCTTCAGGTCTGACTACTGAGCCCTCTGCCATTCAGCATCTTCTGGATTCCTGTCTTTTGCTGGTGTCTGTGTTGTGTGTAAATAGAAACTTAAATGAGGGGAAAAAATAACAATTTAATCAGAAACATTACTAGACTTCATTAATTACTAGAATCACTAGACTTTTTACCCACTTACTGTCCATCTTACAATATATCCTGTGAAGCGCTTTAAGATTTCAACAATGTGATCAGGCGCTATATCAAATGAAGGATTATTATTATTAGCCCGAGTGTTTTGTTTAATATCTTAGTGTTTATGAATAAATAAATTGTCATTGATTTACTGCTGTTTTGTAGATAGCACAGCTGGCTTTTGCGGGATCTCTGTAGTGAAGGACGACTCTGTAGTCAACATAGAACCGTAAGTTATCACACAATAAACTGACCGATAACATCCACTGATACAATCTACTTCTGTATTGGAGGTCCTATAGGTCAGTGAGAATGGCCTTATTCAGGAAACCCTTACCAATTTCTGAAAATTAAACCTATTTTACGAGAACAGGTGCGTGCATACATGTGCTTTTGGACTCAGCCTCTCAAGCCTGTTACACCATTCTATTAGATCAGCCATGAGCAGGCTCGAGGGCTGAATGGCTTCCTCCTGTTCCTGTGTTCCTAGAAACTGTTTTTAATGTATATATTTGCATTGATGGTAATTATACTAAAAACAATCGATTGCATATTTGGCTATCAGAGGGCACATGACTTCCTTGGCACGTATTTACACCTTGTTGCTTCAGGCACATAAATATTGGAAGCCGGTTCCAGGCAGAGATTCCACAGCTTCAGGACAAGTCGCTGATGGTTGATGAGGAGCCTCACGCAGATCTTGTGTGGAAGCCGTGGGGCGACATTGAAACCAACAAAGGCACTCAGAGAACAGGTGAGAGTTTAGTTTTTTCATCTTGGAAAATGGTTGTGCGTGAATAAAATTACTAATTTGAGTATAATTGAGGCACTATTTAAGGCCTTAAAAAAAATCCTGAGAAGATGTGTCGTGCCCGAGACCAAGATGTCACAATCAGGCCCAATGCTACTTCTTGTTCTGTATTTTTTAAGTTAAGATGAACTTGATTTATCCCCTTTCTTTAGCCCACATCTCTGTCCCAGACCACCACACCCCCAATCATTGCTGTTAGACTCTTAATGAGTAGCCTTTGCCTTTTGAACCCTGATTTCAGCAGAAAAATGTTTAGTGAAATTAAAAACTTTAGTCTGTGTTCAAGGGCCTCAGGAGAGCTGAGACAAGCACATGATTATCAGCTTATCTCTTCTGCTCTTCAGCTGACGGCAATTCCCTGTAAAATACTTTCGACATTTTGATTTCAATTCAGTTGCTATATCAATTGAAAGGATTATTATATTTCTAGTAACCCTTAAACCTTCCAAATCTATGAATTGATTACCTGTTACTCAACAAAATGATTTGAGCTTGTGATTATTTCCCCATTATAACTCCACAGCAAAGTTCAATGAGTCACAGCCAATTAATAGGATTTAATATTTGTAATTAACGGTTAATCCTTTCACTGGTTAATTATATAAATGGCACCTTTAATTGGCCCTGTATATATTTTCATATTGTGCATAAAATAATGGTGTTTACATATGGCACATTATAGCCTTCTGGGGAGACATTTCACCAGGTCTAGGTAGCTTGCTTGTATGTTTGTTGTTTGTTATAATGCTCAGAATTTACAACAACAACTTAGATTTATATAGCGTGTCCACGCCGGCGTCTCAGAGCAGTTTATGGTTTCGGATCCCGGGACTGAGCCAGGGAGAGGGGTGGTAAGGTGACCAACGGCGCAGTCGAAAAGAAAGGTCTTCAGCAGAGACCTGAAAATGGGAAGGGAGGGAGCGAGACGAAGGGAGTGAGGAAGGCAGTTCCAGAGCCTCGGGGTGCAGTGGCTGAAGGCATGGCCGCCGAGGGTGGAGTGGAGGACGAGGCCAGACCTGGAGGAACTAAGGCAACGGGTACTGTTTTGAGGAGAGAGGAGGTCAGAGAGGAAGGGGGCTGCAGAGGAGTGCAGGGACTTGAATATGAGGGTGACGATCTTGAAATCGATCCTCTCTAGGATAGGCAGGACTGGGGGGGTCGGGGAGCGGAGTTTCGTGCGGGTGAGAATGCGGGCGGCAGAGTTCTGAATGAGTTAGATTTTATGGATGGTAGTGGATGGGAGACCAGCGAGAAAGGCGTTAGAGTAGTCCAGCCGAGAGGTGACAAAGGCATGGACCAGAGTTTCAGCGGTTTTGGGGAGAGGTATTGGCGGAGACAGGCGATGCGACGGAGGTGGAAAAAGGTGGTGCTGGTAAGGGACCGGATGTGGGGGAGGAAGGATAATTGGGGGTCGAACTTGACGCCTAGGTTGCGTACGGGTTCGGAGAATTTTAGGGGGAGGTCAGGTAGATGGAGGAGGTGAGATCCATGAGATTTTAGACGTGGACGAGAGCCGAAGAGTAAGGCTTCTGTTTTGTCAACGTTCAGCTGAAGGAAATTTGCGCTCATCCAGCCCCTGAGGTCTGACAGGCAGCAGACAGAACATCAGGGGGTCGCAAAGAGAGTTGGAAAAAGTAGAGTTGGGTGTCATCTGCATACATGGTGATTGGGGTTAGTGAAAGTGACGCTCTGTCAAAGAGCCGGCGCAGACTCGATGGGCCGGATGGCCTCCTTCTGTGCCGTAACATTCTATGTAGAAATGTACCCGATGTCTGCGGATGGCATCTCCAAGCGTGAGCATATAGATCGGAAAGAGGAGGAGGCCAAGGATGGATCCTTGGGGTACCCCACGGTACCCCAGGGTGAGAGCGTGAGGAGAAGCCGTTTATGCAGATGTTTTGCTGGCGGTTTGTGAGGTAGGACTCGAACCAGGCGAGTGTGGTCCCATTGAGGTGGATGACGGAGAATTTAGCAAATTGTCAAATTCGGCCTTAATGTTGAAAACTATTTTCTCCAGTTCTTAACATAACAAAAAAAAGCTTTGATAGTAAAGCTATATTTAATAATTTAAATTCTGGCTTTAAAATATACATAAAAAGAGTAAATTTAGAGCCAGGTGGAATTTCTCCCCAGCCATTGATTGTGAAGTATTGTGCCTTGTGGTGACCTGTCCTGTGATATATATTTTGCTGCAGTGACAGACCTGTTGAACATGGCTTGTTCCAGCGTGCTGCCAGGGGGAGGCACCAACATGGAGCTGGCTTTACATTGTCTGCACGACACTCGGGGAGATGTCCTGGTAACTAGTACTCGTTCTTAATCATTCTTAACAAAGGGCAACTTCCGTGCGATCTTTGTGGTGTATTCTGTAGGCTCTTACTGTGTGTCTGTCTGTCTGTCTGTCTGTCTGTCGGTCTGTGTGTGTGTGTGCGTGCTGGACACCAGGGTATGTGTTGTGTTAACAGACTAAGGGTTGAAATGCATTTAGCTAATTTAATGGTGCACAGTGAGATCTAGGAATAAAGGACCTTTTTAAAAAAAAACTCATCCTCACATTTGATGCAGCAGCATTCACATCGGGAGGACACATCGATGCACTTCATAAAATTCACCATAAAGTGTAGTTGACTGTGTTTTGTGGGTGAACACGGCAGCTAGTTGGTGCACAGTCATGAACTGTTGCTATTTTTTCTAGATAATAGCAAGGTCTAGACAGAGATAAATTCTGAGATAAAGTCACAAAAATTCTTCATTCACCTGCATGTAGTAATCCTATTTTCATTTGTATGTTTTTCAGGCTGCATTAGAAATGCTGCTGATGAAAGGCCTATCACGAGATCTCTCTCACCCGCTGACAGATTACCATTACACTGGTAAGAGGAAAGTCATTTATTCCCCCCATTAAACCAGAGACTATTTAGTAGTCCTGTAGTTTAGTGGTTAGATCGAGAGCACCCAGGTTCTATTCCCAGACAGAGCAAGTTTACTTGCTTCACATTCCTCTGTTTTCCAAAAAGTAAGTAGGAACTCAGTTGTTAGTCAATTGGCGGATTGCTTTCCGGGGGCAATAATCCCTTTTTTTAAAAAAAATTTGGTCCCTCAATGCTCGATTGTTTGTGGGATGCTGCTGTACGCAATTAGGGCCACGTTTCACCCACAAAATATACATTCTGGCAGGCACCAAATTCAAAGAAAACCTGATTGCAAAGCACATTACAGTATCTCTTGCCGAGTTTCAGGCGGGTAACAGTGAACACGGGGCAAGGATTGGACTATAATTCTTAATTCTGTATCTTTAGGCACTGAGAAATGGACTTGCGCAGAGAGAAAGATGTTCAACAAAGCCATCTGCATTCACAACAAGGATTTCTTTCTAATGCAGAAGATGGTAAAATAATGAGCAAGTTCTATTTTAACTCCTACTAAATTTTGTTTTTTTGTATTTCTATCTTTTCTTCCACCTTCAGACTCTCCAAGTCGCTTTTCGATAACACATTTACTTGTGCCCAATCTTCCTTTGTCCAACTCTTTCCTGTAAATTATCAAATTAACCTGAATGCTCCCCCCTCCCCCATGGCAGCCACTATTCCAAATTCTCATTCTCTTCCCCTCCGTCTGTTCTTCATCTTCATGCTGTTGGATACAGTGCACTTTTTCTTCTCTTTGCCATATATCTGACCTATCTATCTGCCTCCGTCTCCCATCTTCTGCCCATTCTCCTGCACACTCTGGACATAATTGTTTTTCCCATTGAACCAGAAACACCGCTTCCCTCTTATACCACATCTCTGTACGTCTGGTTTCTTTGCTTCCTGTTTATTCTGTCTACCTCCATGACATCTGGTGTTTTATAGATAAAATTCAAGAGTGTGGCTCAATGTGTGGAGTATTACTACACCTGGAAAAAGCAGCTAAAGTTTGAGTGGAACAGAACCCACCTGCCCGAGGAGGAAGAGACCAGACATGAGGCAAATGCCCTGGCAGAATCGAAGGAAATAAAGAAGCTGGTTAGCAGGGCTGCTCTTATATAAAGATTTCAGTATAGTATAGGGAGGGAGGATTTATTAAATGATCAATGTTTCTTTTCAATCTCTCATCTCCCTTTAGACTTTCATCGAGTCTCAGAGCCTCAGCAGCCTTCCCTGTCCGACCAGTGGAAACCGGGAGAAACCCAGGAAGAAAATCTCACGGGCGACACCCAGCCCCTCGCCCTCAGCTCCCTGTCAGACAGGAGCCGCGGACAAGAACGGAAAAGCAGTCACTGGGGGAGATTTCCCCTGTAGAGAGTGCGCAAAGTAGGTAGAAGTAACTGAAATTAGTGAGCTCAGTAAAGCCTTCAATATTGTTAGGATCCTCTTCCATTTTATTATCTCCTGACTCTATTCCTGTCCCTGATGGTTCCTTGACACCAAGCTGAAGAGGAAAGTCTTCATGTGTGATTGAATTAGGGAGTTCCAGAGTTTCGGGGCCCAGTGGCCGAAAGCACAGCCGGTGATGGGGGAGGGGACAATGAATGTGTAGAGACCCAAAGCTGGCTGAGGATTGGGGTGTGAGCAGGGCAACAACAATACTGCCTTTAACAGCTCGATGGGAAGATTAACTTTGTTCTAACAGGACAAGGTCAAAAAGGCCTTCATCTGAACCCCTCATTATATTGCTACAATGAATTCGAGCATAACTTTCTGTAATACTGATCAGTCCATGAGTTTCGGCAGTTTAAGCGTTGGAACGACTGCTTGTTGAGAGTGTTTATTATTGGAGTATAATTGCTGCACTGGCAGGTGGCAGGTCACTAATGGTGATGTGTTGGCCTGACAGTAAGATCACTCACCCCGAGATGAGAATCTGAAGTACATGCCTGTCCTTTGCTATAAACGTAGCTGCTTGTTGGCTGCTGTGGACACAATCTAACCACAATTATGGTGAATTTTACAAGTAGGTATCCAAGCCTTCGTGTTGTGTTTCAGGGTGTTTGACAAGGTGAAGAGTAGGAACGCTCACATGAAGTGCCACCGGCAGCAGGAGGAGCAGGAGAGACGGGCAGAGATCAAACGCTCGAGGATACGTTTGAAAGTTGAGGTGGAGGAAAAAACAGAACCAAAAGAGCTGATCACCCATGTAGACAACTTCCAGAACAACACAGCGCCCTAGACAGGCATCCGAGGCTCTTCATCTCTGTTTGAGGAAGGTTATTTCAGTTTGCCCAGGGAGTGCCTCTGAGCAAACACAGTTGATGTGCAAGACACACATCTCTGTGACACCCACTTTATTTACTCAGTTTACAAGGCTGTTTATTTATCTCCTCCCTGTACCTCACAATAATGTCATTATAGATCATTGAAGAGCAATGTGATTTGAAGCTGAGATTCCCCCCCCCCCGCTGTCGGTTAGTGTTATCACAACATTACATTTGTGTAGCACCATTCATATAAATAGAGCTTCAGGATGAGAATTGTTACTTTTGAATTGTTTTAAACAAGGACATTGCTGGCGAGTAGCACAGTGACTTCTTTTCTCAAGTGTCTCAATCCTGTAAACGGACAGGATTAGAAGGGTGTTCAATATTATTTTAGAGATTTTTGTCACATCTGTTTCCAGCAGCCAGCGGTCCGCCAAGCCTCAGCTCCTACCAACCTCTCCTAATACTCTGGAGGGAGAGAAGACACATTTCGTTCCAATAAATATCTCTGGAATTTCCATATAGGATGGATGGAACTCAGTTTGGCTTGGAGACTCTTTAAGCATAGTGATGGGTTTCCGGCTGTGTCAGACACCTGGCTGACCCAAAAAATTAATTTGGTGCCAGAGGGCAAAAGGGCAACGGTACCACTTGTGATGGGCAGTGTGATGTAATAAGCCATTATTCCAATGAATATAAACCTGATGCAATGTTGTGGACATCTGGTCAATGATTGTCACCTCAATCAGACCGTTTGTGGTCTGTCTGGTCTCGGCCCCATTGAGGCAAGGCAGGGTTTGCATTGGTTCAGAGTAAAAACCATTTTGTTTAAAGGTAAACACCAAGGTGGTGTTCCAGTAGTCCTGAATACACGTTCACCCACTTCGATTTGACACAGGCTCTACCTACAAAACCAAACATGGAGATGGATCAGTTTTCTCATTAACCTGAAGAAAAATTGAGGGATTTTTAGGAAACAAAATCCAATTTTTGTCCTTTCCTGCCTCTCTGCACCTCGAGCAGTGAAAATGGAAAAAAGGTTCATTTCTACACCTTTGCTGACTTATGTTTTTGTATTGTGTATATTTCTGTACATTTTTCATTCAGTACAAATCTACAAAAAAAGTTATTAGAAAATCTTGATGGACAGAAGAGTGCTTGATTTTGTAAAGGAATCTATTTCTGACGAGTGCTGTTCTCATTTGCCGACAAAACAGGTTTAGTACAAGTGCTGCAGACTCCGCTATGACTGTGTTTCTGTTACACCACTCACTCAGTTAGGGAATTCAAAGCTTCTCATCCGCAGGATTGAACCGTTAAAGACTGGGCAAGTGAGGGATTCCATTTGTGCAAATAGAAAGGTTGCTGCGTGAAATGCACGTTTGCTCGGGAGAGTGAACTGAGAACGAGTGAAACCAGCACAATCTGCCATATTGTTCACTGTCTTTTTTTCAAAACTACGCAAAATTGTTTCAATAAAAATGACGTTGATTGTTGCAGCAGTGTGTTATTCCAGATTAATGGAAGGGCGGGAGAGTTGATCTTCTGCCCTCCATCCTCCGCTGTCCAGTCTGCTCTTGTATTAACTACACATAGCCTTATTTCCCTTATCTACAGCCTGTTACGGTGAGCGCTTCAGAAAAGAAGCAGAGGTGTCTCACTTCCATTCATTTCCTGCTGTGTGTGATCACAAGTCACTAACTACCAGAAATTAAAGAGTGAAAGGCTTTTGAGTCATTGATGTTATCATCCAAACAGTATTACATTACAATTCTAATCACAGAATCTATGACCAGACGTTTACAAGAAATAGCACTTCAATAAAAAAAACTTTAATCAAGATTGACTGCAAAAATCACTCGCAACAAAAAAATCCAAACAGTATTAAACAAACACAGTGCCATAGCTCTGTATAAACAGCCCAGCGAAGAATCGTTTTACCAACTCTAATCCATAGAAGGTTTTGTCAATGGGTGTGTTTCTCATCGTTCCTGGTCTACCAATAATTTAACTGTAGGACACTGAAAGCCCATCAACGGAGGTGCTGTATACCATCAGAGACTCGCGCCCCCAGTGATTCAGCCGAGGGCCTGAAACCGCCGACAGGTCAAGGCAGTGTCTCTGGAATATTTTACAGCTTTAAAACACATTTTCATTTAAAAAAAAACCAAAAGATTTCTAAAAGAGACTGCGGGAGGGGAGAAAAATGGTAAAACAAACATCTTAAAAGAGTCCTACAAATTTTGGGGGGATCGCTTAAAAATATGACCAGAAGTACCAGGCGTGAGTGAAGAGAATCTCCCGAGGATTAAGGAAGGCTGTGTTCTGCAGGTTGACGAGCTGCTGCTGGAGTTATTTCCCCGCTTGCTGGGCCTGTCGGCGGAGCAGGATGTAGATCTTCTCTTTCAGCCAGTCCTTGTTATACGGTTGGTATGTCTGTGTGTCTGCCCGATAGCTGCAACACAACAACTAATTATATTTGTACAGTGTCTTCACATCAGGAGGAAGACAGGTTTAACATTAATACAGGCGGTGATTAGATGTTTGTTAGGTCTGGTTAGCAAGTGATATGGAGCAAAGGCTAATTGGAGTTGGGTATAGATCAGCCATGATCTTATAGAATAGCGGAACAGGCTTGAGGGCGTGAATGGCCTCTTGTTCCTATGTTCCTAAGTAACAAGTCTGCAACTAAACCCCCAGAAAGATAGCATTGTGTAACATTAGTGCTCCCCTTACCTTCCACAGCCAGGCTGTGTACCTCACCCACCCCCCCACGCACACACACACAAAAACTTGGACTTATGTAGCCCCCTGCACACAGGGTAGCATCTCAGAGCGCTTGAACACACACACACAGAGGACAGCAACAATGAACAGTGACTCAAATGAGCTTCAGGCACCAGCACAACAACAACTTGGATTTATATAGCCCCCTCCACTCCGGAGCGCTTTACAGTAACGGATCCCGGGGCTGAGCCAGGGGGAGGGGGGGAGGGGAGGAAGGTGACCAAAGGCGCGGTCGAGAAGAAAGGTCTTCAGCAGAGACCTGAAAATGGGAAGAGAGAGAGCGATGGGGAGGGAGTGAGGAAGGGAGTGAGTGGCTGAAGGCACGGCCGCCGAGGGTGGAGTGGAGGACTCGGGGGATGAGGAGGCCAGACCCAGAGGAACGAAGGCAACGGGTGCTGTTTTGAGGCGAGAAGTCAGAGGTCGGGGGGTCCAGAGGAGTGTAGGGACTTGAATACGAGGTGAGGATCTTGAAATCGATCCTCTCTGGGACAGGAGCTGGTGCAGTCTGACCAGGACTGGGGGGATCGGGGAGAGGGGTTTGGGTGTGGGCGGGAGTGCCAGGACTGGGGGGATCGGGGAGCGGAGTTTCGTGCGTGTGAGAATGAGTTTTGAATGATTTGGATTTTATGGATGGTGGTGGAGGGGAGGCCGGCGAGGAGGGCATTGTAGTAGTCCAGCCGAGAGGTGACAAAGGCTTAGACCAGGGTTTCAGCAGCTTTTGGGGAAAGGTATTGGCGGTATACAAATTGGCGGTATTGGCAGAGCACTGGCTGTGGTGCAAAATCATTGCATTATTTATTCCATGACCAATCCATGTTCAGGTGGACGTTAAAACACCTGGTGAGACAATTAAAAATAAAGGGAATTTCTCCTGGCAAACAGTTCTCTCCCCCTCCCTCCCCAACCAGATGAGAATTGGGTTGTTTAACTCACGGCTTTGCTTTGTTGGTTTTGCCAACAGTCCTATCACTCAACAGTAGTGACTGTGAAGGGCTTTGAGGCAAGTTCTGGGATGATTCTCTCGAGGGTCTTAATGAAACGTGAGCAACAGCCTTCCCTCTAATGGACCATCATGTCCACTGCAGGACATCACTTTTCATGGAAACCAATCCCCGTGTTTAAGTTTCCAAACCAGACAGAGTTCCACATATGTGCGTCACTCACATGTGAAAATTTCCCCACATCGGCAATGGACGTCCTCCCAACGTGAAAGGCACTGTATAAACATCATATGATATTGGGGCGTGTGTGGAAACGGTCACTGACCTCCCACAGACACAGGTGTGAGCAATACTGTCACACACGTGTGAACGAGGCCCAAATGAAGCTCGTGTCTCCGCGAGCGAGCATACTCACACGAGGCAGCTGAGGTCAGCAAGGTCATCGATGAAGTCAAAGAGCTGGCTTATGTCATAGGTGATGGATGGGCTGTTCGGGTTCATTCTCTTTAAATGTTCCTCAAACATTTTGCAGACACCTGAGAGAAGTACACCCATTCAGTCTTAGTTTCAATGTATTTAAGAGAGAATTTGATACATTCACTCGAAGACCTTCCTCTTCACTCTCACTCACTCTCTCACTCTCTCTTTCCTCCCGGTTCAGCGTTAAGCTCCCCACTGGTAAGCACTGCGAGATGCTTCTGCTATCCAGGGCCTTGGGATGTACTCCCGACCTGAAAGGCGCTATACAAATGTAATCTTGTTGTTGTTGTTGTAACTGGCTGTTTGCGGGGACGTTTATTTTTAACCAGAGAGTTGTTACCGTCTGGAATGCACTGCCTGAAAGGATGGTGGAAGCAAATTCGATAGGAGTTTTCCAAAGGGAATTGGATATGTACTTGAAAAGGAAAAATGTGCGGGACTAGCTGGGGTAAGAGCAGAGGAGTGGGATTAGTTGGTAGCTTTTTCAAAGAGCCGGCACAGGCATGATAATAATAATAATAATAATAATAATAATCCTTGCATTTGATATAGCGCTTTTCACGTCGGGAGGACGTCCCAAAGCGCTTCACAGAATATACTGTTAAGTGAATTGACTGTATATTTGAGGGCGAACGCGGCAGCCAATTGCGCACAGCAATGTCCCACAAACAGTCGTAGATTGAAAATGACCAATTTTTATTATTGTTTTGGGTTTTGGAGGGATTATTATTAGGCTCTGTGTGGAGTAAGGAAACTTGCCCGAGGTTTCGCCCTCTGCCTGGAATTGAACTCAGGTCTCTCACTTGCAAAGCGAGTGCTCTAACCACTGAGCTACAGGACTCCACAGTCCTGGAAGGTAGCTTGGAAGGGAGGCTTCAACTAGGGGGACAGGGTCATTGGGGGAAAGCCAGGTTTCAGTGAGCCCAAGAATGACGAGGTGCTCATCCAGGAGGAGGTCATGGATGGTGAGGGCTTTGTTTGAAAGGGATCGGACACTTTGAAGGGAAATGCGGGTGGGTTTGCTGGTGGGAGGAGAGAGTGATGCGGAGTGTGTAGAGTCGTAACTGTGTGTTTTGTATGTTGCCTCTGCCCTCCACCCTCTGGAACTCCATCTCACAGTCCCTCCGCCTCGCTCCCTCCCTCCCTCCCTCGCCTCCTTCAAGACCTATATCAAGACCCTCCTTGTCGACCAACTTCACTTTCGGTCACACTCCTACACCACCCTCCCCCACCTCGGGTCCAAACACCTGACTGTCCAGCCCAGCACCTTAGGAATTCCACCTGACCCTGTGAAAGTGTCCGTGTAAATGTCATGTGTTGCTGTTGTCGGAGGGAGAGAGAGGAAGGATTGTTAGAGATGCCGTCCTTTGGATGAGATGTAATCATAGTTCAAACCTCTCCCCCCCCAAAAAAAAAATAACCTTACATTTCTCTTTGCTTTCAAACAGAATATTCCTTGTGTGAGCATGCTCCCCACTCTGGCACTCAGAGGCTGGACTTCGGCACTTAGCTCAGGTGAGAAATTCTCTCCAACTCTTTCTATAAGTCTTACTTACGTTCTCCCTGTGCCCCCCGCCTCCACGGATGGTGTCAGCCTGGCTCAGTCGGTCAGGTTGAAGCGCTTTCGCCTCCAAGTCAGCAGCTTGTGCTGTTTTTTTCATTCTTCACGCCAAGTGTAGAACCTTTCCCGCCGGGAGGACGTCCGGTCATGACCCAACTGTGCAGCGCCTTGGGACGTCCTCCTGACGTGAAAGGCACTTTATAAATGGAATCTTGTTGTTGTTGTTGTTGTTGTCCCAAGGCCCTGGACAGTCAAGGATTTGGACCCGAGCTGGGGGTTGGGATCACAGAGGTTGAATGACTGTGGGATGGTGTTCCAGAGGGTGGGGGCAGAGAGGCTGAAGGCCCAAAGGCCGATGGTAGGGTGGGCCGGGTGGAGCCCGCTGAGTGGACAGAGCAGACAGGTCTATATGGAGTTAGCAGGTCACAGAGAACACAAGCGATCGGACCAGGCCACTGCGGACAGACAGACACACACACACAGAACACACAGAGACACAGACACACCCAGAAACACACACAACACAACAACAAAATTACATTTATAGAGTGCCTTTCAAGTCGGGAGAATGTCCCAAAGCGCTGAACAGTCAGGTATTGGGGCCCAAGCATGGGGGAGGGGTGGGGTAGGGGTAAGGGAAGGCAGAGAGGTGGGAGGGCGACCAAAGGCATGATCGAAGAGAAGGGTCTTGAGACCGGCCTTGAAGGACGGAAGGGAGGAAGTGAGGTGAAAGGACTGTGGGATGGAGTTCCAAAGTGTGGGGGCAGAGGCTGAAAGCCCGGCCACCGATGGTAGGGTGGGAGACATGGAGCAGGCCGGAGCCCGATGAACGGAGGGAGCGGGCAACAACAACAAGATTCCATTTATAGAGCGCCTTTCACGTCAGGAGGACGTCCCAAGGCGCTGCACAGTTGGGTCAGGACCCGAGCAGGGGGGAAATAGTCAGGGTGAGGGGAGCGAAGGGAGGGAGCGAGGAGGGGGTAAAAGGGGGCAGGCTCATAGGGAGTCAGCAGGTCAGAGAGGGAAGGCCATGGATTGCCTTGAAAGTGAGGACGAGGATCTTGAATTCAATCCTCTGGGGGATGGGGAGCCAGTGGAGTCGGGTGAGGGCGGGAGTGATGGGGTCACGGAGCCTGGCGCGCGAGTGTACACGAGCTGCAGAGTTTTGGATGATCTGCAGCTTGTGAAGGGAAGAGTTGGGAAGGCCGATGAGGAGGGAGTTCCCGTAATCGAGCCTTGATGTGACGAATGCGTGAGTGAGGGTTTCGGCAGCCTGAGGTGTGAGGCAGTGGCGGAGTCTGGCAATATTGCGGAGGTAGTGGTAGGCAGTGCCGGTCATGGGGCGGATGTGGGGCAGAAAGTTCAGGCTCGAACAAGACCCCCAGATTCCTGACTGGCTAAGTGAGGTTGAGTGTGCAGCCGTGGAGGCTGATGCTGCCAGCGCCTGATGTGCAGAGGCACTGGCGTGAGCCAATCAGGAGGGCCTCGGTCTTGCTGGCGTTGAGTTGGAGAAAGTTGGCCCTCGTCCAGGACTTGATGTCGGACAGGCAGTCAGTCAGGACACTAGTGGTCCTGGAGTTCAGGGTGGAGGCAGAGAGGTCGAGTTGGGTGTCATCCGCATGCATGTGGAAATTTACCTCATGTCTGCAGATAATGTCACCAAGGGGGAGCATGTAGATGGTGAAGAGGAGGGGACCACAGAGCCCTGAGGAATACCGCATGAGACGTTGCGGGGGCTGGAGGAGAAGCCGTTTGCCCCGACGAAGTGGAGGCCGTGTGAAAGGTAGGACCTGAACCAGTCAAGGACAGAACCTTGAAGGTTGAGGTGGGAGGAGAGGTGGTGGAGGAGGATTGAGTGGTCCACGGAGTCAAAGGCAGCGGAGAGGTTGAAGAGGACGAGGAGGCAGGAGCCCTGGTCACACATGGTCAGGATGTCGTTTGTGACCTTGACCAGAGCAGTTTCCGTGCTGTGGGCAACACGGAAACGCGATTGGAGACGCACTCACACACACACACACGACTGACCATTTCTCCCACTGTTTCCTGACAGGAATGTCCAGGTTGACCGGCTCCTTGTTGACTGTGGTCTATCAGGGAGCTGGGATGCTTGATGCAGTGTCACCCCCTGCTGTTGGCTGGCAGTACTACAGGCGACACATGGCCACCCTGAACCAGATGCACAAGAAGGGAAGACCCAAACCCCCGCCACCCAAACTGGGCATAACCGCGGGCCGCCCGCAGCTCAAAGCCGTGGTGTTGAAGACCATGATCCGCAAACCCAAGAAACCCAACTCTGCCAACAGGAAGTGTGCACGTGTGCGTCTGAGTAACGGCAAAGAGGCCATTTGCTTCATCCCCGGTGAGGGCCACAACTTACAGGAACACAACATTGTGCTGGTGGAGGGCGGCCGCACACAGGACCTGCCAGGGGTCAAGCTCAAGGTCATCCGTGGGAAGTACGACTGTGCTCACGTTCAGAAGAAAAAATAACCCATGGCTCGGCTTCACGGCAACAACAATAATAATAATAATAATGGGAATGAATATTAAAGTGCCAGCGCAGTTCAATTTATTTCTCCCAACTCGCCTCACTGTATTTTTATTTTGCCTCTTACCAGCAGTGAGTAGGAACCCGCTTGTTAGTCGATTGGCAGAACAGTTTCCAGGGGTAATAATAATCCTTGCATTTGATATAGTGCTTTTCACGTCTTCTCAACATCTCAAAACGCTTGACAGAATACACTGTAAAGTGAAGTGACTATATTTTTGGTCGAACGCGGCAGCCAATTGCGCACAGCAATGTCCCACAAACAATCGTAGATTGAAAATGACCAATTTATCATTGTTTTGTTTTGGAGGATTATTATTAGGCTCTGTGTGCAGTGAGGAAACTTGCCCAAGGTTTGGCCCTGACCCCCCGGGGATTGAACTCGGGTCTCCCACTTGCAAAGCGAGTGCTCTAACCACTGAGTTACAGGACTCCACAACACATACACACTACAGAGCCACACAGTGAGAGATGTGCACACACACACACACAGAGACAGTGAGACGTACACACTCACACAGACATACTGAGTGATGTACTGTTAGGTAATTTTCCGTTTCTACCTTCTTTGTATACTTCTGCAATTGGATGTTAGTTCATTCAGCAATAAACACAGTCACACAGTTCAATCACTAAGAGTACATTTATTCAACTAACTCAGGACCAGTCAGTTCAGTCTGGTACAGAGTTAGGGTCGTAGCTGACGACCCCGGTGTAGGATTCAACAATGGCATTTATACACTATGGGGAGGATCCTTCTCCTCCAATCGTTAGATTTGGTCATAGGTGACAATGTGGTCGAGACATAGGATGTGTATTGGGCACTGTCCATTGTCTCATACTCCAAGGCTGCGGTTAGTCTGCGCATATATCTGTTGATTCGGGCCGACTTCCTTCATGGAATCAGTCGTAACTGGTTCCATGCAGTTGAGCTGTACGTTTCTAAAATCAGATAACACAGCCTGCCAAGCTTCTCGTTGCAGGGTTTACTAAAGGTTATAACTTTGTGCCTTTTGATCCATCATTACTCACTCGCACACTGACACAGTGCGATGTGCACAGTCGCAGTGCACACACACACACACTCATACAGACAGTGAGAGATGTACTCACTCACACACATACAAATATAATATTCAAATAATAATAATAATTTGGTCACTCAATCCACGTCTGTTTGTGGAACGTCGCTGAGCGCAATTGGCTGCCGTTTTTTACCCACAATACACAAAGTCACTACACTTTAAAATATATCCTGTGAAGCGATTTGAGATGTCTTGAAGATGTGATAAGGGGTTGTATCAAATGCAAGGTTTATTATTATTATATTTCCCACTCACTTATTCCACACCAGGACTGTGTTGTGAGAGAAAAGGAGTTTATTAGAAATGCACTGGTTGAGCGATCAATCTCGGCCACAAGTCAGCAGCACAACTCAGAACAACCTCACACAACGCTTTCTGAGGCTGAGTTTTAAACCCGGCTAAACACACACACGCATACATATAATTATCAAACACACACATACAAGTATCATAGAAACATAGACAGACATGTATACTCATTCCAACCCGCACTGTAATTATACTAGCATTTCCTCTCTGTTGCAGAGAGAGAATAAATTAAGAGAAATAAATAGGGAGAAACAGAGCGGGTGATAAAAAATAAATGAAAAGAGAAACAGTGAACAAACCGCCACTACTCAACACTGCTTGGCTTGTTAGCAGGACTTCTAAAGAGGGAGGGAGGGAGGGAAAGAGAGGGGAGAGGGCAGGAGGGAGAGAGCGAGGGAGGGAGAGAGGCAGAGAGACTAGACCGGACATTGCGAGAAGCAGATTCCTCTAGCTTGTCTCGCTAACCCCTGCAAAGCCAAATGTGTGGGGACAGGATTTTAGTTTATGAATGGTGGAGGAGTTGGTGTAAGTGTACGGGGTATTGGAAACATAGGAACAGGAGGAGGCCATTAAGCTCCCTGAGCCTGTTCTGCTATTCAATTAGATCATGGCTGGTCAGTAATGTTTCTGAGGATAATAATCCCTCAAAAATAACTGGTCACTCAATCCATGACTGTTTGTGGGACACTCACTGCTGTGCTAACTGGCTGCTGCGTTTCACCCACAAAATACAGTCACTACACTTTACATTAATTCCCTGGAAATGCTTTGAGACGTCTCGAAGGTGTGATGAGACACTATCAAATGCAAGGATTATTATTCCAGAGCCTTGGGACGTCCCCTGATTTGAAAGACGCTGTACAAATGTAAAGTGTTGTTTGTTGTTGCTGGTCACTCGATGCACGACTGTCTCGGGCTGTGCAATTGGCCCCACGTTTCACCCACAAAATACAGTCACTACTCTTTAGATTGTATCCTGTGAAGCGCTTTGAGCCAATATCTTGATGACGTGACATGGCGCTGGATGGAATTCCAGGATTATTATTATTATGAATCAGTCGCTGGGCCAACACAGACCACTATCTGTCCATCCTTTCACTTGATTGTCACCTGGTGTCCAGCCTCCGCACACGGACCTTCTGCTTGTAGTGATATTCCTTCAGATATTCCTTGAGGGGTTTGGGGAGGGGGAGCTGGTCAATGCCATCGTACGTGGTGCAGCCGGAGACAACTGCACGGCAGCAGCGCTGGAGGCTGAAGGGGAACGGCCTGGCCACAGGCAGGGACAGCAGGGGCTCGAAGAACATGCAGGCGGCAGGGTCTTTGTAGTGCTCGAGCAGCCCGCATACCGTGGCCGAGTGGAACACGCTGGGGTCATGGGCATCAAAGCTGAAGTTGTGGTTCCACTGCTCGATCCTGGCGTGGAGCGAGCGGCTATACCTGGGGCAGGGACAGAGAAGAATGGTTACAGCGCTCACCTCCCATCCTCTCCCCGTCACCTCTATCCATCCCCTTTTACACACAGCAGCTTCTCGGTTACACACATCTCTATAAGGTTCCCTTTGAAGTCCTGTAGTGCAGTGGTTACAGCGTTCGCTTTGCAGGCGAGAGACCTGCTCATTTACTCTGCTCACTCCACACACACCTCTGTTTAAATGCCATTGTTATTATTATGAAGTTTATATATATTATATATACTAATATATATATTAGTAGTATATCTATATAACTATTATTTTCTGCAGAACAGATCGAGAATAGAGTTCTCCTGAGCCGAGTCCTGCTGAGCTTTCTAAAGTGTATAATTATATACACACACAGTATACACACACAGTGTATACACATACACACAAAATATACACACAGTGTATATACACATACAGTATACACACACAGTGTATACACACACACAGTATATAAACACAGTGTATACACACACACAGTATACACACGCAGTGTATATACATAGTAAATACACACAGTGTATACACACACGCAGTGTATACACGCACAGTATATACACACACACAGTGTATACACACAGTATACACACACAGTGTACACATACACAGTGCATACACACAGTGTGTAACAAACACAAACGGTGTATATACACATAGTGTCTATACACACAGACAGTATATATACAAACACACAATGTACACAGACGGTGTGTATATACACACACAGTGTATATATATATATACCTCCCGACGTGAAAGGCGCTAAACAAATCTTGTTGTATATACACAGACGGTGTATACACACAGACAGACAGACAGTGTATACACACAGACAGGCAGACAGATGGTGTATACATAAAGACAGGCAGACAGACAGTGTATACACACAGACAGACAGTGTTTAGACACAGAGTGTATACGCACAGACAGTGTATACAGACAGACAGTATACACACAGACAGAAACAGTGTATACACAGACTCACAGTGTATACAGACAGACAGTACATACACACAGACAAGAGACAATGTATACACACAGACACAGTGTATACACACAGACACAAGTGTATACAGACAGACAGACAGACAGTGTATACACACAGACAGACACAGTGTATACACCGACTCACAGTGTATACAGACAGACAGACAGTGTATACACACAAACAGACAGTGTATACACACAGACAGACAGTGTATACACACAGACACACAGACAGTGTATACACACAGACAGATAGTGTATACACACAGACACACAGACAATGTATACACACAGACAGACACACAGACAGACAGACTATACACACAGAGACAGACGGTGTATACACAGACAGACAGTGTATACACACAGACAGACGGTGTATACACAACAACAACAACAACAAGATTCCATTTATAAAGCGCCTTTCACGTCAGGAGGACGTCCCAAGGTGCTGCACAGTTGGGTCATGACCCGAGCAGGGGGGAAATGGTCAGGGTGAGGGGAGGGAGGGAGGGGCGAGGAGGGGGGAAATGGTCAGGGTGAGGGGAGGGAAGGGAGGGAGCGAGGAGGGGGGAAATGGTCAGGGTGAGGGGAGGGAAGGGAGGGAGCGAGGAGGGGGGAAATGGTCAGGGGGAGGGGAAGGGAGGGAGCGAGGAGGGGGGAAATGGTCAGGGTGAGGGGAAGGGGAGGGAAGGGAGGGAGCGAGGAGGGGGGAAGAGAGTCGAGAGGGGAGCGGAAGGCTCGGTCAAAGAGGAAGGTTTTGAGACTGGCCTTGAAGGAGGAGAGGGAGGAAGCGGCGAAGGCACCGGGGGATGGAGTTCCAGAGCCTCGGGGCTGAGAGGCTGAAGGCCCGACCACCGATGGTAGGGCGGTTGGGGCGGGGGACGTGGGGCAGACCGGAGCCAGAGGAACGGAGGGTACGGGCAGGTAGGTAGGGGGATAGTGGGTCGGAGAGGTAGGAGGGAGCAAGGCCGTGAATGGCCTTGTAGGTGAGGATGAGGATCTTGAAATCAATCCTCTGCGGGATGGGGAGCCAGTGGAGGCGAGCGAGGGCGAGGGTGAGGGCGAGGGTGAGGGTGGGAGTGATGTGGGCGCGGTGTCTGGTGCGGGACAGTACACGAGCTGCAGAGTTCTGGATGACCTGCAGTGTGGAGGGAGGGCCGGGAAGGCCGACGAGGAGAGAGTTCCCATAGTCCGGCCTTGAGGTGATAATGGTGTGGACCAGAGTTTCAGCCGCGTGAGGGGTGAGGTAGTGCCGTAGTCTCTGGCGATGTTCCGGAGGTGATGGAAGGCGGTGCCGGTTGTGGTGTGGATGTGAGGGAGAAAGGACGGCTCAGGGTCGAACAATACGCCGAGGTTCCTGACTGGCTGTGTATACACACACACAGACAGTGTATACATACAGACACATACAGACAGTGTATACATACAGACACACACAGACAGTGTATACATACAGACACACACAGACAGTGTATACACACAGACAGTCTATACACACAGACACATACAGTGTGTACACACAGACAGACAGAATATACACACAGACAGACAGTGTATACACACAGACAGTCTATACACACAGACACACACAGTGTGTACACACAGACAGACAGAATATACACACAGACAGACGGTGTATTCACACAGACAGACAGTGTATACACACAGACATACACATAGACACACAGTGTATACACAGACAGATGGAGTATACGCACAGATAGACAGACAGATGGTGTATACACATAGACACACAGTGTATACACACAGACATACACATAGACAGTGTTTACACACAGACAGACGGTGTATACACACAGACAGACGGTGTATACACACAGACAGACGGACGGTGTTGGATTACCTGCGGAAACTGACGGAGAAGAGGAAGTCCTCCTGAGCGGAGTCCCTCAGTAAGAAACTGCCCTCCGGAAGGCCGAGCAGTTGGGCCTCGGCCTGAAACCTGTCGATGCGGCCCCAGTAACAGGGCAGCGCGGTCAGTGCGGGCAGTGCGGGCACCAGACAGTGAATGTAGTCGATCTGTGTGTGAGCCCTGGGCCCCGGGTCCTGGGACAACTCCAGCCCCGGGCTGCGGGCCTGGTCCCCGGGGCCCGGCTCTGACGCTAACCCCGGGCTGTGGGCCTGGTCCTCCCGCTCGAGCCCCGGGCTGTCCTGAGGCTGTCCCCGGGGGGCCGGGCTGCTCGGGCTGGGCGGCGGCGGCAGGTGAGGCCCAGGCCTCAGTGTGGCCCTGTGGTCTCCCGCCAACTCGTTCATCCCCGGCGCCAGTTTGGGCCCCAGTTTGTATCGCGGGTTAATGGCCGCCGTGGCCTCGAACGTGTGGATCTGAGCGTCCGGCGGCGGCTCCACCCCCTGCTCGATACTGATCCGCCGCCGCTCCCGCAGCCGCTCCTCCTCGTCCTCCTCTGGGGGCGACGCCGGACTCGAGTCCGAGGCTTCCCCTGAGGCCTGATCCTCCTCCTGATCCCCGGCCTCGAGTAGCGCCGCTCCCCGGGACACTGGCGCCGTGAGCTGCTTAATCAGGTGCCACTTGGCGGCCAATTCCGAGTCCGCGGGGAACGGACACTCGTCCAACATCAGTTCGCTGATCCGCACCTTCCTCCCGGGGGTGGAGCCGTCACGCGAGGCCGAGGCCGAGGCCTGGTCCGGGCTGAGGCTCCGCAGCGGGAAACACTGACCCACCGCCTCCTGCAGCCGCTGCCCCAGGGAGCGGCCCGAGGGCCGCCGCCGGCCCCCCGAGGCCTCGGCCTCTCGCTCAGGTCGCCCCCGCCTCCTGCCGGGCCTCCGCTCGGCCCCAGCCCCCGCCTCCCGCCGGGGATCAGGCCGCACATCCCGACTCCCCTCGGCCTCCCTTCCGCCTGACATGGCCCGGGGGGGGGTACAGGGGGTAAATCCCCTCCCCCTTTGGGGTAACCCGAGGGTTTGAGGTTGGGAGGGGGGAGGGGATGATCTGATGGGACAACGTAACACCCACACCCCAGGGTTTGGGGGGGTCAGTGGGGTTGGGGGTTCGGTGGGGGGGGTCAGTGGGGTCAATGGGGTTGGGGGGGTCAGTGGGTTGAGGCGGAGTCAGTGGGTTGGGGTGGGGAGTAAGTGGGGTTGGGGGGGTCGGTGGGGGGGTCGGTGGGGGGTCAGGGAGGGGCAGTGGGGTTTGGGGGGTTCAGTGGGGTTTGGGGGGGTCGGTGGGGGGGGTCAGTGGGGTTGGTGGGGGGGTCAGTGGGTTGGGGAGGGGCAGTGGGGTTGGGGGGGAAGATGTTCCGGAGTTGGGGCTGCTGGACTTTTCCAATTACAAGTCAGGATGGAATTCCTTGTGGAATGGTCCGGGCGGTCGCTATCCCTCCCCACCTCCCGGCTCCATCATGTCACTACCCCCACCCCATCTCTCCCTCTTCCCCCCCACACTTTCCCCCCCTCTCCCGCCTTCCCTCGCGCTAACGCTGGAACCTCCCGTCCTCGCTTTCCTTCTGGATCTCGATCAGCGCTTCTCCTGCAACAACAACGACGATGACGATGGGGAAACGGACTTTTTTTTTACAAATTGATTAAACAGAAACGGTCAAAACAACAACACACAACATTTACACAGAAATCTTTTCCGTCGGGAGGACATCCCAAGGCGCTGGATAGTCAGGGATTTTGATCCGAGCTGGGGGTTGGGATCAGGAGGGCGGGAAAGGTGGGAGTAGGAGGGTGACTGAAGGCGCGTTTGGTCGAAGAGGAGGAGGCGAGGGAGCGAGCGAGGTGGAGAGGTTTGGGAAGGAGCCAATTTGCACACAGCAACGTCCACAAACAAAGTCTCAAAGAGCTTCACAGGACACAGACACACACACACACACATATATATATATATATATATAGATAAATTTGCTGTAGATTGTTTGTATATTTTGTGCGTGAAACACGGCAGCCAATTGCGCACAGCAGTATCCCTATAAACAGTCATGAACTAAGTGACCAATTATTATTATTTTGAAGGGATTATTGCCTCCCGCAAAAGTGATCCCCCGATCGACCAACAACCATGTTCCTGCTGGTAAACCGAGGTGTGTCTGTGAGTGTGTGGGGAGTGAGGAAACTTACCTAAAGGTTACGCCCTGATCTGACCCGCCCGGGAATCGAACTTGAGTCCGCCGGGTTGCGAGGCGAGGGGTCTAACCAACAAGACTCCAGATAATGGTGAACCAACGGTTTATTATCTGACAGGCGCCTGGGGAGGGGAGGGCAGGGCAGAGGCTGGGAGACAACCTCACAGCACCAACTCTCTCTCCCTTTAGGTGGGAGATGGACGAGCTCAGAGACGCTTCCAAATCAAACAAAAATCACATCTTTCAAAGCGCCGGCACAAAGCAGTCCCGATGGGCAGAATGCCTCCTTCTGTGCTGTAAGATTCTCCAATTCTATGAGCCAAAAGGCCCAATTGTGGCACAAAACATTGCGGAGACACCTCAAGCCTCAAGTGTGTGTTCATTTGACTACTTCAATGACTCACCACTTATTTTGGGGCTCAGTGGGTGGGTCAGTTGGTCGCTCAGCGATGTGGCTCTGTTAACAGCTGATGAAATGTCTCCTCCTCGGTGGTTTAATAGAGACCCCGTTCCTTCCCCTCCTCCCTTCCTCTCTCAAGGTGTCAGGAGTTGACACAGGAACAGAAGTAGGAGATGTCTCGCCTCACACACCGCCTCCGTCAGGCTCCAGCAACAAACGTCAAGCTGGAAGGAACCTCAGCAACAAAACATGGACCGGAGTGTAGACATCACAGTGGATAACAAGCCATCATTACCCACTTAGCTCTGAGCCACACAATAATTATCCTTGCCTTCCACGTAGGAATACTTGCATTTGATAAGAGTGCCTTATTCACTTGGCAGTGTATCCCGTGAAGCACTGTGAGACGTCTCGAGGACGTGATAAGGCTCTATATTAAATGCAAGTATTATTACATCGTTGAGATGTCTCAAAGTGCTTTGCAGAAATACACTATAACAGTCGTGGATTGAGTGAATTTATTGTGAATTATTTCAGCCACTATGCCCCGAGGCTCTGGATCTCCCTTTCTCCCTCCCTTCCTATTTTCAAGTCTCTGCTGAAGACCTTTTCGACCGCGCCTTTGGTCACCCACCTTTCCCCCTCCCCTTGGCTCGGCCTGGGATCCATTACTGTGAAGCTCTGAGACACCGTCCGGCGTGGAGGACACTATAAATCCAAGTTGTTGGTGGTGGTGTTGTAGTTGGTACTGTATTTCACTGCCCAATAGATTGTGCTATTACCGTAATCCTTGTGTTTAAAACAACACTTTTACCACATCGTCAAGTCTCAAAGCGCTTTTACACGATTTTACCGTGAAGTGTAGTGACTGTTCATACGTAGGTGATTGAGTCAGACAATTTGTGTACAGCAATCAATTGAGTGCCCTATTTTATCCGAGGGATTTTGGCTTGGACACGGGGAGTGAGTGACTGCTTATTCTATTTAAATCATGCCATGGGATCTTTACGCTCACCTGAACAGGTAAACGGGACCTTGGTTTAAATTCCCAACATGGCACTGGGGGGGGATCCAGCATAGGGCTCGAACGCACAACCTTCTGACTCAGAAACAAGAGTTTAAGTTGGCTTTTAATTCTTTCCTCTTGAAATTGTTGAATATTCTCCAACATAAACCCAACTTTAAAGGAGTTAAAAACTCCCATAAACTCGTTACTCCACGATAAAAGGGTTCAGTGAATTATAATAATCCTGGCATTTGATACAGCGCCTTATCACGTCTTTTGAGACATCTCAAAGCGCTACACAGGATATACTGCAAAGTGTAGTGACTGTTTTGTGGGCAAAAGTTAGGTGCATGTATATACTGTATATAAATACATAGCTAAATGCAGCAGGAATATTGAGAGTTTGATAACTTACGTGCTGATACGTTAAGACGGTGGAGTCTCAGTCTGTGCTATTTGCTCAAAGCGCACAGGACATTTTGATGAATTGAGTACAGAAAACCACAGATCAGGTGCAAAAATTGATGTTTATTTCAGTGCACGTTCCATCAGTGAGAGCGTGGAAGACAAAGTGGGTAATTTTTTTCTGAAAAGCAACTTAACGTGCTGTGCATTTTGATTTATATATATATATTTATATTTTAAAAAATTCTCGCAAAAAACGGGTGCAATTAACAACAAAGCAAGTATTTATAATGTATCGTAACTTTTATTTAAACGACTGAAGTAAATTCCCTGACGGGTTTTTAAAAAAAATGCAGTTTCAGTATATTTCTTTAATAAAAAACAAAACAAATCAAAAACAACAAGGAAAAAAATAAGCACAGCTCCGTGACGGACCGTAAGGAAATGGGGGGGGAAAAAGAGAAAAAAAAACATTTAAATAGATTACCTCGAAAACAAGAGTAATAATAACAAAACAAGCAATAACAGTTGTTTTTAAACGTTTGATTTTTTTCTCTTTTTTTAATTGTTCGAGACATTACTCAGGGGTGAGTGAGGGACCAGTCACAGGTTTAACAAAACAATTGCTCATTTTTTTAAAAAGTTAAAAATAATACATTGAAAGAGGATTCTTGTTCTACTAATGGATGAAATAAATAGTTACTCTTTATTGTAAATACCTTTTTCAGAACCAGCCTTTGCAGCTTATTTAGACCCAAGTGGGTGCAATCAGTTTTTTTTAATATACACATTCTCCCTCTTTTCTCCCCGCCCCATCTCCTCACACACTGGTCTTTGCAAACCCTCCCCCTGAGGTAATACGTGTGTAAACCCCCCTTTCCGTCAATCACTCTGAAAAACTGCCTTGGTTTTTGGTACCAGTGCAGGAGACGTGAACCCAATGGGAGAAAAAACACACACATGCACACACACACACACGTATACGCTCTCACATGCTCACACTCACGCACATACACACAAAAAAGCAAAATGGCCTCTTCCACCTTCCTCATTAAACTGCAAAGTGCTCCCATCCACACGGTGGCCTGGGTTTAACACAAACCTAACACAAATGGGTGGCCGAGCAGAAGGAGTGACCAACCGACTGACCTGCCATCCAGCAGCCTGAGCCACAACAAAGTGAGGCCGCGCCTTCAAATTTATTATTTATTCTTTAAAATAAATTTATTTTCTCAATTTTGTAAATTTCTTTGTAAATTTGTTTTAATGAATTACTCGCAGCAACAACAACAACAAAAAATTGTCTTTAAACTTCCAACTTCACGTAGGTCGCAAGAGGCATCAACACCCCCCACTCCCCCCCAACACACACTCTCTGGATCAGACGTCAAACATCCCTGTTGATATTTTAAAGCCCTTTAAGTTTTCAGAAACCCCCAAAACCATTCAATTCAGAAAAGCCGTGAACATTAATCTCCGTCTCTGTGCCAAACTGAAGAGTAAACACCAACTAACGGCACCAAATAAGGTCTCATTGCCTTTGCAGTTCCTCCCCGACCCACCAACAGTCACAAATCCGTTCACTTTTTCTGAGGCGATGGGATGTGACATAGCAATGAGAAAACACACATGGAAAAGAGTGCAAGGGGGAGGGGGGCGCGGGGGAGAATTTTTCCAGAAATCCCAGAGATAGATTGTTGGAATGGAATGCAAACCCTCTCTCTCCCCGGAGGGACGCCTCCTGCTTACATAGTTCCAGAAAGTATTAGGCGCAGGTTGACAAGAGCCATGGGTGGGTGGGTGGGTGTTGGGCGTAAGAGAGAAAATATCAACATTTCCTTCTAAGAGTTTCCGTCACTCTTTCCTCTTCACTTCAGAACAGCTCCACTGAAACAGACGTCAATCAGACAAACTTAGAACGAGAAGAAAACAAATTAATTTAGAGAAAAGAACATGGGATTTGAGAAGA